GCTGATGAATCCCAGGCTGGTGCGGAGTGAGTGAAACCAGTGTCAGCAGGTCAGGCTTGTGGCCACAGAGGCGAATCACTCTGGGTCAGTGTGTCGAATGGCAGGCTGCTGGGTCAAGACCCAAGAATCAGAGGTTGATAAGCCAGATGCAGGGTTCAACCCCAGCAAAATCCAAAGGAGCCGCTGCACGGCATCCACTTCCATTGGAAGCTTCGCTTCAGTGGGTTGACCTGAGTGAGCGCATCGCCTCTGACACTCGAGCACTTTGTGGAAGGTGATTCTGTTAAGTTCCGTCCCCTTAGGAGGGATTTCAAAGTCTTGACCGCCCACCACAGAGGATCCAGGCCCAGCCAAGTTGACACACAGCTATCATACGTGTTTACAAACAGCTTCACTGAGGCGTACTTGACATGGATAAATTGCACATATTGAATGTGTGCAATGTAATGAAACGTGTTGAGTGTGCATACCTGTGAAATCCCTTGCTGGTGGTGAGCAGTCAACAGCCACACCCCACACCCCCTGCCACCCAACCCCCATCTACCCAGTACCAGACAAACTGACCACCTCTCTGCTGCTGGTCAAGTTTGGTAAAAATGGAGTCACCGATTGACCCCCTTCCCACTCAGCAGAGGCATTTGGGAATCACCCACGTTGCATGGCCAGTTGTGTTTCAGGGTTTTACAAATAACTTCCAGTGCATTGACGCATGGTTCTTCTTTGAAAACAGGATGGGAGGCGAGGGCTAGACGGCTGCCAGGTTGGACCCCGGGACTGACCAGGCCCACACTTCACCTTCACTTAGGTGGAGGCTGAGAGGCCAGCCTGGCAACTCAGAGTCGATGTTGATGCTGTCACTTTCATGTCAGCTCCACTCTTGTGACCCAACCCTATGTCCTCGCCATGGTCCTTGGGGAGCTCACGTCCACTCTTAGGCACCTTATGATCTGGTGCTGCCACCCTAGGACGCATCTTCCAGCACTTTATTGGGTAGCAACCAAACCCAGACCCCCTGCCGTCAAGTCGGTGCTGACTCAGAGCAAGCCTGGCTCTCCGAGACTGGAACTGTTCGCAGGATGGAAGCCCAGTGTTGTTGACAGTTGCTTGTCATGCATAAGGTTTTTGTCCACTGATTCAGGGGGGGTGGAGATTTCCAAGCCTTTCTCCTCGATTGTCTTGTCTGGAAGCCCTGCTGAGCCCTGGCTCCCTCGAGGGTGGCTAGCGCTCAGCCTCCTGTCAGCAGCCTGACCCCACCCTCCTCTGTCCCCTGCAGGCCCTCCTCGCCATGGGAGTGCGTGGTCTGCAGGGCTTCGTGGGCAGCTTCTGCCCACACATCTGCACCGTGGTCAACCTCAGAGAGATGGCCGAGTGCCACCGGAAACAGCACTCCAGCAGCCCCCCAACCATCGTGGTCGACGCCATGTGCTGCCTGCGCTACTGGTACACTCCCGAGTCCTGGGTCTGTGGGGGCCAGTGGCGGGAATACATGGGCGCCCTGCGCACCTTTGTCCAGGCGTTTGAGGAGGCCGGCATCCGGCTGGTGTTCTTCTTCGACGGCATGGTGGAGCGGGACAAGCGCGGTGAGTGGGTGAAGCGCAGGCACAAGAACAGCAGGGACGTGGCCAGGATCTTCCACCACCTCAAGTCCCACGGCGAGCAGCCCGGCCGCCACATGTTCTTCATCCCGACCGGGCTGGCCGTGTTCACCCGACTAGCCCTGAAGGCCCTGGGCCAGGAGACCCACTGCTCCCTGCAGGAAGCCGACTATGAGGTGGCCGAGCGGGGCCTCTGGGAAGGCTGCCTGGGCATCCTGGGTGAGGACACTGACTACCTGATCTACAACACCTGCCCCTACCTCTCCATCCGGGAGCTCTGCCTGGACACGCTGGACACGGTCCAGCTGAGCCGGGAGAAGCTGTGTGAGAGCCTGCAGCTCGCTGTGGCCGACCTGCCCCTGCTGGCCTGCCTGCTGGGGAACGACATCGTCCCAGAGAGCTTGTTTGAGAGCTTCCGGTACCGGTGCCTGTCCACCCACAGCGCGGCGAGCAAGGACCTGCGCAGGAGGGGCGGCACTGTCCTGGCCGTGGCAGACCACATAGCGCAGGTCCTCCGCGTGCATCAGGGGGAGAAGGCGCTTGAAGAGCTGCTGCCTTTGGGGCCGCACACAGCTCTGTTTTATAAAGGAGTGGCCTCCTACCTTCTGCCAGGACAGATATCACCATGGCTTTCCCATGCACCCAAAACTGTAGTTGCTCCGGACAAGCAAACAACATCTATGCTTACAGACTTACAGCCCCAGCGTGGAGCACCCCTGGTTTCAGACCCTGAAGCCCTGCAGGTAGGCAAACAGGCTGTGCCCTGCCAGGCGGCTGTGCTGCATGCCAGTCACGCCATGGGCACCCAGTCATCTGTGCACAGGGGCAGGCAGAGGGTGGGTGTGAGGCGCAGTCTAACGACATGTGGGAGTCTGAAGGAGAGCTCTCTAGATTGGGGTGGCTGAGCCTCTTGTTGGCTCTGTGTCCGAGGGCAGCAGTTGAGGTGCCCCTCTGTACTCTGTGACTCAGAACACCTTAGCCTTGACCCCCTTGAAGCTGCCCAGCTAACCGGCCATTTGCTTGGGGACATTTGAGCTGTGAGGGGAATACCTGGGGCCTGGCAGGTCCCAGAGAAGAGCAGCCGCGTGGATCCGTCACAGGGACTGGGCCACCATGCCCAGCTCAGGAGCCCTACGGTGGCCCAGGGGGGCGACACTGTCCTGCAGCTACGCAGTGAGAAACGGGCAGAGATGAAGACCTAGCAGGCCCGGGTCTTCAGAGGTGCCTGGGGCAGAGGTTCACCCCACTGTGACAAGAGCTCTTCACGGGGACTGACGCTGTGGGGGCCACTGTAGGCCGTCTGGCGTGGCTGCTGGTTTAACAGGAGGACGTAGAGCTGGTTTGGCCCCTGCCTGTGCTGGTGGGAGGGACCTGGCCTCCAGACCTTGCTCAGGAAACACCAGGAGCACAGCACGGAGTGACTGGACTGTAGCTCTGACTCTGACCTCAACTCATGATGCTGGGGGAACAGGAGAGCAGGTGAGAAAGAGAAGGGGACTCAGGAGACAGGGAAAGCACTGGAGGCCCTGAAGGAGCCAGGTGGGGGCTGAGGGTGCTTCAGAGTCAGTGGAGCTGGCCTTGTGTGGCAGGTGACAGGTTTTGATGCTGGTGAAGCCTGTCCTGGGCCTGAGGGTCAGGGAAGAGCTTGCCTGCGTGGTCACTTGCTCTGAGGAGGGTAGTAGTTGGCCTGGAGCAGAGCTATGGGGGTGCTGGGCACAGACAGCAGTCAGCCTGGGGTGGGGAGGGACCAAGTGGACAGGTGATGAGGCCCATGGCGGACGTGTGGTAGGGCAAAGCAGAGGAAGGTGGCAGCACTGTGAGCCTGGAAGCCGAGGGAAGGAAATGCCCACCGTGGCCTTTACTGAGTGGACGTGGGAGGAGCTGTGTCTGCGGCCATTTGGGGGCTCACGGGAGGTCACTGACAGGTGGTGGCCAGCAGGCCCCAGGAGAAAAGGCCCGCTGCTTGGCTCCCGTAGATGCAGCGAGGAGACCCTGTGTGCCCGAGGCGCGGTCAGTGCTGTGTGTTTTCCTTTGGAGCAGGTGGCTAGAGCGCACCACGTCCAGGGTGAGTGCTACCTAGTATACAACATCATGTGCAGTGGGGAGATCGAGTGCAGCAACACCTTGGAGGATGAGCTGGACCAGGCCCTACCCAGCCAGGCCTTCGTGTACCGCCCGGTGCGCCAGCGTGTGTACGCACTCCTGCTTGGGGCCGGGGAAGGTGAGTACCACTCACAGAGAAGCGCTGGGGACAGCCAGGACCAGTTAGCAGGCAGTCCTCTGCGTGAGTTCTGTGAGTGACTTATTTTTAAGGAATGTGGATGCTCTCTTCCTAATGGAGTACAGGGGTGTTGTCTATTAGCAAATGGCATTATCTTTGGTTCCCGTGAAAAATTCCCCACAACCTGGTACATTGTATTTTGAAGGTGAACACCTCTCTCCTGATTGTACATTTGCCTCACCCAGGTGCATTGCTCCCCAGTGGGGGCAGTGGCTTCGGGCCTGTAGTTCCCACAGTCAGGGGCTGGGGCCGTGGGCCTGGAGCTGAACCTGGGGCATGGCCCTGCTCACTCAGACAAGCGCCTGGCCCAGCTAACTGGTACCAGGACTTACCTATAAGAGCAGTAGAAACAAACAAACGACAGTAGAAACTGTTGTCAAATACCAGTATGATGATTAACCTCACCCTACTGTTCCAGAAAGTTAGGGAGTCCTGATATCACAGTGGGTTAGGCGTTGGGTTGCTAACCTCAAGGTCAGCAGATCAAAAGCACCAGCTGCTCCTTAGGTAAAAGGTGAGTCGGTTTGTGCCGTAAAGAGTTAAAGTGTCCGAAACCACCGGGCTAGCCCTGTTCTCCTTTGTGGGGTCCCTGTGAGTCTGCATCAACTTGATGGCAGTTGTCAGTCGTCTGAATGTGGCTCCCCCACCAGGCTAAGTTTCTTGTCCTTTTTCAGGGTGGGGGCCCAGCACCACCTGGCACAGACTGCTGCCTCTCCGACGAGGCCTGGGAAGGCTCTGGGCTGTTAAGGACAGGCCCAAGTGCCGGGCAATCTGTGTCTCCGGTGTGTGGGTGCCACGCGTGAGTGCAGGTTGACCAGTGATGAGAATGACGGGCATCTTTCACAGTGTAGAACTGCGTTTGCCTGGAATTGCTTTCAGAGTATTATTAAATGAGATGAAAATGTATGGCTTTTATAGTTGATTAATTCTTAAGTATATTTTTTATGTAATTTACTTATTGCGTAGTTATCAGATAACTGCATAAGCAGAAAGAATCACATTAACTTGTCTTCATAGTAGATCTTTTTTCTAAAGTTTATGGCTTTTACCATCTAGTTTGACATGATAAAGACACAGCCAAACTCACTGCCAAGAGTCAGTGCTGACTCATCACAAACACCCGACTCCACCTCATGGGGGCCAGGACGTTAGCTGTTTGTGGGAGTAGAAAGCCCAGTCTTTCTCCCAAGGAGCTGCCGGTGGTTTTGAACTGCTGACCATGCAGATTGCTGACAAGAGCACAGGCACTTCCAGCTGCTGTTGGGGGAGTTTCTATTCTTGATTTACCACCCGTTTTTTCTCCAGGTGTTGTGGAATCTGTTCTTAGGCTTGAGATGAATTCCTCTACGTGGCCTGCTGCCTTGGTTCTTCGGAAAAACATCTGGAGAGACTTTTCCTCTAGGGTTCGAGCTTTGCTCTCGCCCTCGTTTGTGACTTCAGTCCCAGTTGGCATTTCTGGCAAGCTGGACAAGTGCTAAACAAGGGTGCCGTGAGACTTTCTGCCTGACCCTAGGCTACAGCCTGCCCAGTCATTATTTTGTACTTGGCAGGGATTAGTCCATACACCATGCAAATGAAGTGACTTTGGACTGTGCAAATGAAGTGTCGATAGCCTCTTGAGAGGGGATTGATTGGTCAGTTCATGGCCCTGATGGGAGGAGAGGTGTAGCTTTAAACAGCCACGTCCACGGAGGTTTTCAGACAGAAGCAAGAAGTCGCTGAAGGAAGAAATAAGAGAGGATGAAGCAGAGAGAGAGGAAGCAAGGAACTTCCCAAGCCCGCTGCTGAAGCTAAGAGATCACGCTGAAGGAAGACCCACGTTGCGGTCAGTTGCCTCGTGTGCACGTGGAAGTCGCACGAGGGCCAAGGAAGCCTGAAGAAGAGCAGACGTATTCGAGTTGTGGGGTCAGTGAAGACTAGTGGACGTATTCGAGTTATGGGGTCAGTGAAGACTAGTGGACGTATTCGAGTTGTGGGGTCGGTGAAGAATAGTGGACGGACCTTGGACTGCCAAAGGAACAAACAAGTCTGCTGTGGAGAAAGGATAGCCATAGTGCTCCCTGACAGTGAGAATGGGGAGACTTGGCCTCCCCCACTTTGGAAAGCAGCGTGCTTGATAGAGAGGTCCGTGGAAAAGAGGAAGAGCAGGCCTAAGCAAGGTGAACTGGCACGCAGCTGCAGCAAGGGGCCCAAAGAGATCAGTATGAGGATCGTGCAGACCCGGGCAGTGTCTCCTTCTCTGTACACAGGGCCCATGTGCGTGGGAGCCAAGACCCCGGCACCTAACAGTGGCAGTAATATGTTGGTTTTACACAGGGTTTGGTTTGGTGTGGTTCTGATGTAGCTTTGCAGGATGTAGAGTTTTGATCATTTTTGTTTGTTTTGTTTCCCTCCTCCTCTTGATTACCTTTGGGTTTGGAGTGTGTCTGACGAGCTGACGTGGTCTCTTGGGGTCCACATGGAGTGGGTCCTCTTCCTGTTTCTAAAATGTTTCTTTCTTTCCCTGGTTTTTGGCATGGTGACTAAGATGTGCCCTGCAGAGGCCGGGCCTGGGGCCTAGTCTGGGGGCTCCTGGGAGAAAGCCCTGAGCACTGCTTCATCGGAGCACTCCTGTTTCCCCGTCTCTGTCACTGCCACTCCGGCTTTGGTTGGGAGTATGGTGCGCTCCCTGGTAGCTCCCTCAGTGGAAGAGGGTTTTAAAAGCTCCTTTCGTGGTGCCCCTCGGGTAGTTTCTCCTTCCACCGCATCTGCTCTGCTGTTGACCCCATCCGTCCCATGGAGTGTCATCGGTGCTGTGTTGTGCAGCGCCTCTTCTTTTGTAGCTTCTTCCCCTCCTTCTCCTCGGTCACCAGCCAGCATGTGCAGTTGGCCTGTGGTCGCCACCATCGGGAGCAAAGGAGGCTCTCAAGTTCCTCAAGAAGAGCGTCCTGCTTAGTAACGTGGGAGGCCCTTCACCAGCTGGGTGGATGCAGTGGCTGCAGCGATGGGCCCCAGCCTGGCGACAGTGAGGGCGGTGTGGCACCGGGCGGGTTTCCTCTGTCGTGCAGAGGGCATCAAAAACAGCGCCCCCCCCCCCCTCCCAGCGCAGCACAAAGAGATTACAGAACCACACAGCCAAACCCACAGGCATCCAGTCAGTTCCAGCTCACAGCAACCCTGCCTCAGGATTGTGAGACTGTCGGTCTTCCCAGGAGCAGGCAGCCTCATCTTCCTCCCCTGGAAGGGCTGGTGGGGTGGAACCTCCAACCTTGCAGCCAGCCGTCCAATGCTCACCTGGTGAACAAATGCATTTTGTCAAGGACTAGAGGATTGCTAAGTTGTGGAGCCCCGATAATTAGGGGGTTCCAGCGACAGAGCTCTTCCTCATTCTCTCTCTCTACCCTGCATAGTCTTAGGAAATCAACATCTTCCCCAGATTCTGAGTGTTTTCCACACGCTGGGGAATTTCTGTATTTGTGTCATCTCCTCAGAGGGGAGGCTGTCAAAGCAGACTGGGCTACATCTTTGCTCCCAAGGGTAAGGGAAAAAAAAAAAAAAGTTATATGTAGAAGGTTTTACCCAATGGAATAATGTGTCCTTTGGTGATACAAAACAGCCAATTTGATTATATTCTTTTAATGTTTTTGTATAAAAGTTACAAGCAAGAAGTAGAACTAGCAGGCTTTATTTCCAGTTAAAGATGATTTCGTTCGTGTGTATTGTTTATGATTTAACACTTATTGAAATGAGTAACCAACAATATAAACTAAGCTTCAGGTCATTTTCAGCTGCTTCGTAAGGCCGGGCTGGAAGCACGGAAGTCAGCAGCAGGGTTGCAGGAAGGCTTCCTCGCACCAGGCCATGACGGGGTGGATGACGAGACCCTGCTCTTTGCAAGCGAGGACTCGCAGCACTCGATGAAGATCCAGGACTGCAGCCTCCAGTGTGGGGTACAGCTTAATGTAAGAAGACTAAGTTCCTCACAGTCGGACCGATGGGAGCGAGCATCCTGATGAACAGAGCTGCCAGGGATTTCATCTTGCTCGGATCCGCAATCAGTCCTCATGGAGACAGCAGTCAAGGGATCAAAAGACACGTTGCATGGGCCAAATCTGCTGCACCAGGCCTGTTTAGAGTGCTGAAAAGCAAGGATGTTACCTGAGGACACTAAGGTGAGCCTGGCCCCAGCCATGAATTTCCATCGTCTCATAGGCATGTGGAAGTTGGGCATTGAGTAAGGAAGACCGAAGACGACGCGATGGTTTGAATTACAGCGCTGGTGAAGATGACGGAAAGCATCACGGACCCAAAGCACAGTTCTGCCCTCGTACAGCCAGGATGGTGAGACTTCGCCTCACGTACTCCTTTGGGCATGTTGTCACGAGACCTGCCCCTGGAGAAGGGAGCACGTCGTGCTTGGTCAAGTGGAGGGGCAGTGAAAACGGGAAGACCTCAGCAAGATGGATCGACAGGCTGCCGCAGTGGGCGGGCATGGAAACAATGGTGAGGGACACAGGACCGGCAGTGTTTCTTTCTGCCGCATGTGGATAGGTTGCTGTGAGTCGGAGCCAGCCCGATGGCACCTAACAGCAAGCACTTCCAGTTTTCTGAGTGGTGATATTCAGGCCCTTGAAAGAGGGCCACCTCGGCAGTTTCCTGTTTTGTTTCTGTGACCCTGCTGTGCTTGCTGCTTGAGTAAGATTTTACTTTCCTCCTTTGCTCTGTGGGCCCAGAAGGTTGAAGGTTCCAGCTAGGAAACTGACCTTTTTTTTTGCCGTGATTGCAGATTCGACTTCCTGTTGGGTGTGTAATGCATTTTAACGGCAGGGTCAGCCTTTCAAACCCACAGGGCACGCTGAAAGAAAGAGGAGGTGCCTGCTCCCATGAAGAGCCAGAGCCAGAGGAGCAGTCCCTCCCTGCCCGGTAGGCTTGCCACAAGCCTGGCTTCACCCAATGGCAGTGAATTTGGCTTTGGGGAGACTTTTTAAAAGAGGATCGTTTCGTTAGAATTGGAATACTGCTGCCACGATTACAACCTTGGACATGATGTGATGCCCAGAGAATGTACTGAAGTACAGGGCTTCCCAGTAAAATGCAGCCCTGTGCTGCCTCCGTCTGTGTGGGCTGTGATGTGTCTGAGCAGTTAGATTTGTAGAGGCCTCACAGACATCCAGGCGGTGCCCTTTCTGCATGCCGGCCCTCAGCCTCCATGGGCACAAGGAAATGGGCAGACTCGTGGCCTGCTGGTGGCCTGTCCCGAGTTGATGTTAGAACACCGACCTGCTGCTCACTGTGCCTCCACCTTTCCTCGGGGAATCATTGGCCTTTAAAGCCGTTTCTTCTCTTACCTGGAGAAGCCCTGGTGGCAGAGTGGTTACGTGCGGGGCTGCCATCCACATGGTTAGCAGTTTGAAACCACCAGCAGCTCCGTGGGAGAAAGACTGGGCTTTCTACTCCCGTAGACAGTTACGTCTCGGAGGGGCGGGGATAGGGGGGTGTCCCTGTGAGTCAGTCAGCACCGACTGACGGCAGTGAGTTTGATTTGGTCTGTTACCTGGAACTTGCCACAGTGCAGGTGGAGATTGATTTAGCCGTGAGAACCCCCTGCTGGTGTCTCTGGAGCTGGCCGGGCCACCGGCCAGTGGCAGGACACTCGGCCTTCACACTCTGCCCTCACAGGTGGTTCCTGGGACCTGGCCACAGATGGCAGGGGGGCTAAAGAGGTGAAGGAGTGGTTCGTGTATGCGGGGAACCCCCTGAAGGACCCGGACCTGGTCAGGCCGTTGCCAGTGAGCATCCCAGGTACCATGCCCGCGTGTCCTGAACTGGCCCCGACACACCCACTCCTCCGTGTCAGCCTCGGTGGCAGCAGCAGCAGCAGGTGCTGCCCAGGGTGTCCCAGGAAGCAGGGTTAGGTTCTGGCCGCTTCCCCGGGTGCCGTGCTATGTGCTTCTGCCCCACCATGGCCAGAACGCAGGTGTGGAGAGGGGAGAGCACAGCCCATGCCAGGACAGGGCTCGGGACCCCAAGGGACCTGCTCAGCCGGGTAGACCTGCTGTGTGAACCAGAATGGGGTCCTGAAAGAGCATGGTGACAAGTTCAGGACCTGGGGAGATTTTCACTGGAAAAGAGTTTCATTTTCGCATCGGTGACTGAAAGCATAGCAGAGGGGCAGGAACACCAAGTGCACCCACAGTGACCGTGGCTGGGAGGAGCAGAGCAGCCTCTCTTCCTGGGAGTGCCCAGGACGCTCCTGCCCTCTGTCCCCCATGCTGGAGGGAGGAAGGAGGGGAGGTCGGGAATGGTGCCTGCGGAGTGGCCCTGTGACCTGCACCCTAGAAAGCCCAGATTGAGCAAGGCAGCCACAAGCAGCAGCACAGGGACCAGCCCCTCACCCCCATGCACAGGAGACATGCAACCTGGCGCTGCTGGGACTTTGTTTCTTACTTTTGTTTTTTTAAACGGGCATTGAAAGGTTCCTTCAGGTTTGAGGCTGGAAGCTGGGCCGTATGGGAGGGGCTTGTGTCCTTTTACTGTATACCCCTCAGAGCTCCTTCTGCTCTCCCCAAGGAGGCGTGCCCAGCTTGAAGACTCTGTGGCTGACCCAGGAGCCCGGCGTGCGAGCCTTGCGCTATGAAGTGCTCCTGGCCTGCTTCAACCTCTCCTCCATGCAGGAAGACCTGCGGGCCGTGGAGGGCCCCTTCCGGGCGCTGTGCTGCCTCCTCGTCTACCTCTTCCTGCAGGTGCCATCAGCGAGGAGGACTGTTCTGTGAGCCAGTGGCTGCAGCCAGCATGTGCTTGCTCTGGGGCCACAGCCCCTTGAGGGTCTTGGTGAAACAAGAGTGAGCAGTGCTGCTTGCTGTGCACTAGCGATCTGAAACGGAAACTGGAGGGATCTGAGTCATGAGCACCGGGCTGGCTGGTTCCTGGGAGGCAGAGGTCAGATGAGTTACATTAGCTCTTAGGAAAAACAGCTCTGAGGCTCCTATGTGGTTTACTTCCCCAAGAAAACTGCTCATCATTCCCAGGGCAGAAGCCAGTCTCTGCCACCACTTTTGCACAAGATCTGAGTTGATTGACATGCCCCATGCCCTGGTAGTTGATTAGGTTGATCGTGGTCTGATGATGGAGGCCCTGCCTCATAACTGATAAAGACTGGCATATATCAAGGGCCAAAACAGGTTAAGGGACCAGCTGGACTCAAGAGGACGGACATGAAGCCCTGTGCTTAAAACCGTCCGAGACCTAATAAAAAAGGAAAACATAGCGGAGGGAGCTGCTGCTAAGGGCTGGCTGGCCAGCTGAGAGAGCAGCTCTGAGGGAGGAGCGCCGTGCACAGCTGTGTGCTGGCTAAGGGCTGGGCCCAGCCCAGCTGAGGGTCATGCTGGATGGAAGGGATGTGCTGCCCACTCTGGGAGCCTCCTAGACCCCGTGTGATCACGTGTTGCCTCCAGACTGATTCTGGCTGCCATCTGCAGCGCCCCCACCCTCCCTTACCCAGGCTGAGTGTGGCCTGTGGCCACTGCAGTGGTGTCTCTATCCCGGCTGCTGGGCACCAGGGCTGCTTTCTGTGAACATGGGAGAGCACACACCTGCTCATGTTGTGTCTCCTGTTTCTCTAGGGCAGGGGTCCTCAAACCACGGCCCGCCGAGGACATGTATCTGACCCGCCAGGTGTTTTTGCCCGTTTCGGTTTTTTACTTCAAAATAAGATGTGTGCGGTGGGGGCGGTGCACGCGGAGCTGTCGGGGTGTGAGAGCGGGACGGGAACCTGGTGGCACTATGTCTTTATGCAGCTCCTCCGCGGGCGAGGTTTCCCAGAATCACCTTGAACCCGCTGTCTATGTGTGTGCCAAGTGCTGTTCTCCAGCCGCTCCAAGTACGAGCACTCGTCACGGAGACCATCCACGATGATAGTGTGGCCAAGCGGCCCAAGCACAATCAGCCTGATGCCTTTAAGATGTTCTGCGGTAAATGCAGCCACGGGCTTGGCCACGAGTTCCTTGATGGTGGCCCCAAGCGGAGGCAGTCCCTCTTCTGAATATTCAGCAGCTCCCTGAAGTTCATCCCTAAAGGCAGCAAATCTGCCTCCCAGGGGAAGTAAGCGGGCTGCCCAACCCCAAGCAGCCACAGGCATTGGTCACCCCCCTTTAGAACTACAGCCT